CGCCGCCGGGGCCCCCGTGCCCGAGCCCGAGCCGGAGGGAAGCCCCCGCCCCCTCTGCGCCAGCCGCTACCTCTCCCGGCGCGGGAATCGCATCCGAGGCCACGACGGCATCCTGCAGGAGGGCTACGCCCTGTACCACGCCGACAAGCACGACGAGGACGAGAACCCCCACGTACGTGCCCCCCGCCCCCACGCGCAGAGAGCGGGGTGACCTCTGGCCACTCCGAGCGCCGGCTTGCGGCCGATGAGGGGGGACAGGAGGTGTTTTGCTTAAGAGGACTCTGACCCCTCTTCTCCTCTTCCGGCTGCCATTTTCCCACCTTGCAGGATTCTTCCTGCAAGGATTTGTAGTTGGGAGCCAAGCCTCTAATAAGGGGGTAGATCGGAGTGAGTACCTGTGGCTAAAGGAGTGACACTGTGCAGAAATAAGTGTGTATGTGCCTTCGTACAGGTGTTGGGATTTACAAAAGAAAGTTGAAAACACACAGGTGATCCTTTATCTTCTGCGTGGTTTCCTTGACGACTTGGAAGGCAGGACGGAAACCAAGCAGCAACGGAAAAGTTTCGCTCCTCAGCGCAGTGCTTGTCTTGGCTACACCCACGGCGTAGTTTCTTTTCAGTTGCATTCTTGCAGCTAAGGGATGCCGATTTATCAAATTGTCTCACTCCTTTAGCTGCTTTTGGGTAAGAGGAAGTTTGAAGTGGTTTGTGTTTCATTCAGCTGTTTGCACTACATCAATTTCCCTCTTTTTTACATTTCAGGGTATCATTAACTTTGGTGTCAGTGAGAACAAGCTATGCTTTGACCTGCTGTCCAAACGGGTAAGTAGGACTCGCTACTGCGGGGACACTGTGGTACAGAACTCAAACAACACCTCAGAGATACTTTACCTGCACTCCAGCTCACCTGCCGCTTGGGTCCAGTGTCTGTCAAGAATGAACACGAGGCAAGTGTGACACCTGCAGGGCACCAGTAGCAGTGAAAAGACAGCATAGCTTTCAGCATAGGAAAACAAAAGGCATAGCAATAATAATTATTGCTTACACTTATATAACCCTTTTCTGGACACTCCACTCAAAGCGCTTTACAGGTAAAGCACCAGTGTGCAGCCCCCACCTGGATGATGTGACGGCAGCCAAAGTGCGCCAGTCCGCTCCCCACACACCAGCTCTCAGTGGGGATGAGAACAGAGTGATGAAGCCAGTTCAGAGATGGGGATTATTAGGAGGCCATGATTGGTAAAGGCCAATGGGAAATTTAGCCAGGATGCCAGGGTAACACTCCTACCATTTTTGAGAAACTCCTTGGGATTTTTAATGACCGTGGAGAGTCAGATGAGAGACGGTTTTACGTCTCATCCAAAGGATGGTGCCTTTTTACAGTATAGCGTCCCTGTCACTATACTGGGGCATTGGGACCAACACAGACTGCAGGGTGAGCGCCCCCTACTGGCCCCACTAACACCAGAGGCAACCTTTTTCCCAGGAGGTCTTCCATCCAGGTACTGGCTGGGCTCACACCTGCTGGGCTCCAGCGGGTTGTCAGTTGTGAGCTGCAGGATGACAAGCTGGTAGCAGGGTTGGACTCTGTTGTGAAGGTCTCAGATTGATATATATATATAATATTATAAATTAATATATATCCAGTCCAGCAAGATTGATCAAGTCACATCATGTCTGTCTCATTTGGAATAAAGAAGCTTCAGCTTTCAAGGACTAGTTTAACTGTACTTGAACAGATTAGGTGCTTATTGCATCAGTAACTTCCAAAACGTTTCAGATCTTCGGAATCAAGTGAGAGTTCTGCTCTACACAGCTGTAAGTTTAGTTATTTCTAGTCTTCAATTAGACATCAACATTTTATATCATATCCATTTAAATCAAGGGATGTCCATGGTCTTTTTATATCTTACTGTGCCAGTTTGTGTTTAGAGCTTTGAAATTCCAGCATTGGCACTTGGTTTAGGAATGTCCTTTCTAATCTGGCTGCGTACTTCATCTCCTGCGCCACTGCCGAGTCTTTGGAGCTCAACCAGGTCCTGATGAGTGTTGCTGACGTCAGCTCTTCATGTCAGTTTTCATAGTTCTAATATCTGATCCAGGGATGTTTCCCTGAGTGTGTTCCCATAGTTTGGGATGCATGTGCTCAGTTGGGCTTCTCCCGAATGTTTTTTGGAATTTGCTTTGATTGCAGCTCCCAGCTCAGCAGTGCAGTTTGTGGTTCTTACTTTCTCTGTTTCCGGTCACTCCTCAGCTCACCCAGTCGGACATGTTTCAGATCGATGCCCCTCTGCTGCGCTATCCCGACTGGAAAGGGCATCCCTTGTAAGTACCCACCTGGCGCTGGAGAAGCTGGGAGCACTGGGACACTGTGGGACTGGTGCTGGTTGGTATCTCTGGGAAGGAGACGTGCTAAGGTACCAATATGGTCCAAAACCATGAACAGTGTATTCACAATGCAAGAAACCAGTTCACTTGGCACGCAGGTACAAAACAAAAGTCTAGCAATGGCCACGCCTGCATTGCAAATACTTAACCTTTATCATGGCGCAGTTCCTTGTGTTTGTGTGCAGCTGGAGATCTGCTCCCTTCTGCAGGCAGCAGATCACTGCAGGAGGTGTTTGCTTGCTGGTTGTGTTTGGCCACCTGACTGTTTGTTATTGCTGGGCAGGTGAGGGCGGATGGGAGGTCACCTCCCCCAAAAGGATTTTGGGGTTTCTAGCAGGGGCAAACCCCACTGTCTGGCTGCCTTACTGCCATACTGCCAAGCAACATGACCAAGAAGTGCTTGATGCGTACTGTACATTAAGTCATCAGAGTTAATCAGGATAAACGGTGACGGCTCTTCCTGTGATACCGCTTTTCTGTGCTGCAGTGTGGTTTTGTATAATGTAGCATTTTAAAATGAAACTCCAGAAGGACTTCTGTTTGTGGTTTTATGCTAAAAAGCTAAACATCTGGCAGAAGATAAATTGTAGTCTACAGTTTCTGTCAGGTGCAGACCTGCAAAACTGGTCATCATCAAGGACCTGAGTTGTTTGGGGACTTGTGAGATTTGTTCTCGGCTTCAACACGCTCCTTGCTCCAAAGATCTGTGGGGTTTCTAAGCTTGGGAATGGTTTCCAGAATTTTTCAAGGGGATTTATTTCATCTCTTTCAGGAGACTAGGATATGGCAGATCTCTGATAATGCTAAATTTTCTGAACTATAGCCTATGAAAATTTAAAAATAAAAGCAAGACCAAACAGCCTAGCCCATTCATTTGCTGCTAGTTTACAGATCGAAGAGTATCTTCCAGGGGGTGATAAGTGGTTCAAGACTTTTTGTTTTTGTTACGCTATCTCTGTCATTCCTGATCAACACAGTGTTGTGCAGCATCTTGGTTTAACATTGCTCGCTCGTTCTTGTCCTTTATCATGCATGGAAAAGCTGAGTAGTACCAGATCAGGGATGAGTACAGAACAGCTTGTCCGAAACTCCATCCCATCTACAGACCCAGCCTGTGGCCACAGCCAATGCCATCTTATCTTGACAGCTGTTTACGTAGGAAGCTTTATCGTGTTGATATAATGGGTTTTGTACTCCAGCAGGATCATGCTGTACTGCTGACAAAGCCAGACGCTGAATGGGGGTTGTACAGTTTTCAGTGCCTCTTATCTGTAAAGTCGCTTAGTACAGTAAGTTGCTTCAGATTGTATGACATTTCCAGGAACAAGGCACTTGATGCAGCAGCATTGAGGCCAGCAGGGGGAGCTGTTTGTAATTTCCAGCCTGCAAGCACATTAGAAATTACTAAATAATAGGTTTATTCCATGCTGAAAAAAAGAAGAAAGAAAACACGTTTCGTTTCACCTGAAGAAAGCTCCACGGCCGAAACGTTGTTTTCTTTCTTCTTTTTTTTCAGCATGGAATAAACCTATTACTTGTTCCTTTGCAGCCTACGCATGCCTATGCAGCTACCCACCTGAACTACATAAGAAATTACTGTTCCATTTGCATATTGGATACAAGTTTGAGTATTTATCATCACATTATGCTCTTGGATTCCAGCTCCTCCTTTTTCTCTTTTATTGCAAGCATGCCTTATGGCTAAACCTTGAGGGAATTACCTGTGCTATTGTGGTTTTTTGCATGGCCAGCCTTTAAGTGAAGTATAACTATGTATTTAAAGAAAATAGTTGTCAGATTACAGCTCTCATTTACAGAAAATCCATAGACTTCTGAACAATGTCAGTTTCGTTATTTTGTGTCAGATATAGGGTGGCACCCTGTCTATACATACAGGATGGCTGTACAATGTCCCATCCAGTGTATGTGACCGCTTTGCAGCCTGCATCTGCCAAGCCTGGCTCTGGCTCACCATGGGCCTGTAGGGAATAAAGCCATTACTAAGACCGCTTCAATGTAAATAGGCACGCAGAGGGAGCTGCGTCGGCTGGTGTTGGCTGCAAAGCAACAAGTAAAGATTTAAAATTTACGATTTACGACAAGCCAGGCCTTGGCGTTAGCCGCACTGTAAAAGTTTGATGGATCCATTGTTTTTTAATCCCCCTTGTTAGAGTTTGGGCCTGCAAAAGGATCAAACCTGATCGTTTTGTGTTGACTTGATTCTCCGCAAGAGAGGTGTTGTTGTCAGCCGGGGCGGAGGGCTGCTGCTGGAGGGCCCTGCGGCCTGGTCTCTCACCCCCTTGTCTCCACAGCCTGCGGGAGGAGGTCGCCAGCTTCCTGTCCTGTTACTGCACGGCCCCCTCGCCTCTCAGTCCGGACAACGTGAGTCGCCTCGTGCGTGTGCCACAGGTGTCCAAGTCGCGGTGGGCTCCCCCCCCCCCGCCTGCCTTACCGCGAAACACAAGAGCTTGCGGGGCTTCTCGATGTAAACAGTGTCAAGTTCTCTTGTGTTCAACTCCTTTGATGATAATAAGACTGCGTAAGGACAGGCAGAAGCCTCAGAGCATTCTGATGTTGTGTGAAAGGCAAAAAGGCACACTACTTTACTCACGTAATACACACGAAATAAATGGCAATGATAAACAATAAAAATTCTGTGCATTTGGAAAATAGGGAAGCCCCTGAGGGCCAGGTCTTTCACTATTTATTGATAGCTGTAATCCATTGTTGTGGCCAACTTATTATTGCAGACACATGGTGGACCAAAGACTCAGAGCACTGCAGCTGCAGAGGAGTCGAGTATAAACGAGCTGTGTGCTGTTTCCCAGCTATTACATCCCAGGAAGGACGTGTTTCTGCTTCCCTCTCCCTTCAGGTGGTGGTGATGAACGGCTGTGGGTCTCTGTTCTCCTGTCTTGCTGCAGTGTTGTGTGATCATGAAGGTAAGCCAGCACATCGCTGGAAGGAGGTAACTCCAGAAAACCAGGCTGCTGGCATTAGTGTTGGTAATTAGAGATCCACTCTCAACGAACAACCAATGTAACGACAAAAACACTCCCAAAAACTGCCATTCAGTGCATCTCATTTTTGTATCTGCAAAATCACGCTGTTAAAAGCCAGTTAAAGAGTGATGGCTGAAAGTGCCGTCTGCTGCAGGTGTTGGAAACAACATGGGCGCTGGTGAACCACTCAGTCTGAACATGCAGTCTGATCAATAAGTCTCCCAGCGCTGGTGATTGAGAGTTTGTCTGGGACACACAGTCTGATCAATAAGTCTCCCAGCGCTGGTGATTGAGAGTTTGTCTGGGACACACAGCAGACACAGTGGTGCCCTGGGAGTAGGGCTGGGAACCACCCTGTCAGACCCGGTCAGTGCCACCAGCACGAGTGGTGCTGCAGCCGGCAGCCCCGACTGACTGACTGCTGTGGTGAAATGGCAGGTGCAGTGACGAACAGTGGCCACAAGAGGCTGTCAGCTGTCAGGAAAGACCTGCAGCACGCACAGGCTGATAGGATAAAGCCTTTCTAAAACACTACAATGTCAGTGTCTGTATGCTTACAACTGGAGTTCATTATCAGGAAAGGCTTTCAGCTCCTGAAACACGCACAGAAGATGTCTGTGGCTCATTTGTCTTGTTTTAGACCAAATAAAACAATTTCCAGTTATTTGCTGAAGCCTCAGCTCCTCAGCGGCAGCCCCTGGAAGAAGTGAGGATGGGGAAGACTAGCATGCTCACCCAACTCTTCTTCCCTGCCGTTGTGCCTGTCTCCTCTTCAGTACTGTTGGCACCTAGTGACATCATTACAAGGCTGCAGGAAACTGCATGAGCCACTGTTTGCCCGAAACCCAAGAGAATACTGGGAGAGTGATGCCAACTCTGTCCCCCTTTAGCGTTCAACTGGGGAATCCTGGTTGCAGGCCATTAGTGATGAGGCCCAGTCTGAGGATCTCAGACCATGCAGCCTTTGGCTGAGAGACTCAGGAGGCCCGTAGAGATGAGCAAACCATGATATTTTTTTCTGCTGATGTGCTGATTTCATCGTAGAAAGTGGCAGTGAAGGTTCCAGGTAAAATTTAATTGAACTAACAATTTAGTTCTTAGCTTCATCGACATCTGTATTGCGCATGAGAACAGTGGGCAGTGTCCGGGTCAGTCTTGGCTCAGGCTGTGTGTGTTTTCAGATGCCATCCTCATTCCGACGCCCTTCTACGGAGTGATAACTGAAGACGTCAGGCTGTACAGCGGGGTCAGGATGGTCCACGCCCATCTCGACTGCCAGGTACCCGGTGCATAGGCCACTCGCGCTCTCTGACCAGGACAGCCCTCGCGTGACACCCTTCTTCCATCCTGCTCGAGCAGTTTCTGCAGATCCTCCTCTTTGTTCATTTACCTCGCGAGGTTAGTTAGCGTTTCCGCCGAGACCTGAGCTGAAGCGAGTCTCTTCTTGGTTGTGTCCCAGCCGAGGTACAGCGGAGACCGTCCCTTCCAGCTGACGGTGGAGAAGCTGGAGAAGGCCCTGGAGGAGGCCAGGCTGGAGGTGAGTGACCCCGTGCCTGGCAGACTCAAATTCGGCTGACTGACTCAACCACAGCTTGATGAGAGGACCTGGCTTCAGATAGAACAGTCACTTCCTTCCACAGAATAGTGCAGGACAGAGAGGGTTCACACGGAAGGCCAGTATCGTAATTAGAAGAGGCCTCCCAGCCTGGTCTGGGCCTGTTTTTAGATGACTGCTGGTATAACCAGCGAGAGCTACAGAAGTGACTTAGCAGTGCTGTGGGTGAATGGTCTTGGTGCTCACTCGACTTGTGATATGACAATGTCCCCTGATGACTGGATGGGTGAGTGCGACACATTGGCCTTTGGTGTTGGCCCACAGCCTGAACAAAAGCCGACAGTGGGATGATACAAGATTTTCTTTTATTTGTTTCTCCAGTACCTACATGATTTTTGCATTGGTGAACCTGTTTGATCAGTAATAGTAAACCGTTAATGGTTAACGATCTTATCTTGATTCCGAAATTTAAAATTGATATGGAAATTGGATATAAAGTGGATAATGGGAGCTGTACATTCATATCCTGTACCTGTCGTTTGTATTGTTCAATGGACTGCTTAGACCTTGTGTATCTGTTTTTACTTCATGAACAGAAGATCATAAGACTGCTAATTCTTCACAGAATTGTGGAATGCTATAGCCTTGGGTTTCTGCTTAGTCTTTGTGTTCATACCGCACAGGGTATCAATGTCAGAGCACTTATCCTGGTCAACCCTCATAATCCCCTGGGAGACATCTACTCTCCAAGTGAGATGAAAGAATTCCTTGAATTTGCAAAGAGGTGGGTTATCAGCTTCTGAAGATCAGTGGTCTTCCATAATGGTTTCAAATGGATGAAACAGTCTCAATGGTAAATATATTCTCAATGAGAGGGAAGATTTGCCTCCCTAACTGATCTACTGTACTTGCAGGCCAAGATGTTAGAAATTACACGTCAGGACAAGATGACACGACTGAAACTGAAACAACTTCTTTATACTCTTAAGCATGGAATTAGCCACTCTTGTTTCTTCCTTTGGGAAGTCTGATTCATGTTCTATGCTTTTCCATAATTATAAATATCAGCCTGGCTCCTAAAGTAAAAAAAACAAACACTGAGTACTCCAAAAAATTAAAATCAAATTCTCACCTGTGACATTTCGCCAGTATTTCAGTTGTATTTTAAAAACTCATTATGATGAGTAAATACAAGTTCAACAAGACGTTCATCTTGTCCACTCTTTGTTGCCTGGTCCTGTATCCCGTGGTCTTGAACCTTACAAAACGTTAATTTGGAAATTAATTAATATTCGTGCTCCTGTGTGTGGCTCTGTGATAGACCTGATGCCCTGCAAGCTGCTCATCTCGGACTCCCTGTCAGTGTCTCGTTGTTGTCCCTCTTTCAGGCACGAGCTCCACAGCATTGTTGATGAAGTCTACATGCTTTCAGTGTTTGACGACAGTGTCAGCTTTCACAGTGTTCTCAGTTTCAGCAAGTAAGTTCAGCTCGTCCCCCACGGGGCTTCAGCCAAACGTTCTCGGGTCTTCTGGTTGTTTTTGTCCAACAGTCCAGATCAGCCGAATGACTCAATCCCAGCTGTGTCCAAGGCTAGACTCCAGCTTAGTACTTCTCAAACTGTGGCCTCTCCAGTGCAGTATTTTCGTAAAGCCAGCTCCTTATGTGCTGTATTGATCCCACTGTTTATCCTTTAAATACTTATGAAGATGGTTGTTGTAGTATTTTTTTCCCCTGAAGTTGCTTCAAGGATTAGTTTAGTGAGTCTTCCAGTTCTGTAACACTGCTCTAGCTAAAGGGTGGAATTTTGACAGACACAAAATTTGAGTTAAAAAATCCAAAGAAATTGAAAATTTGCTAAACTACATTTCCATGTTTTATTGCATTAAGTGTTTCATATTAAATTGAACATAAAGCAGAAATGTACATGATCTGTTTTATAAATTAATGACATGACAGCAAATGAATGTGTGACAAATGAATGACCGCAAATCACTAAAACTTGGAACGTCTAGGAGCTGGATTGTGGCTTTGGGGTACACTAAGTGGCACTGAGTGACGGGCTCTGCTCAGAGTTTTTTGGGGGATTTTGATGTTTGCCACCATGCAGAAGAAACACTGTTTCTGGGCTGAGAAAGTCTACCTTCCACCACCTTCAGCTACTGATTTTCACAGATTGGGGGGATATTAGTAACGTGAAATTTAAAGCAATTGAGTCAGACTCCATGTGCAGGACAGTACCGTACCGTATTTAGCACCGTACTAATTTTCCACATTAAGAAGGAATGTTATTTTTGTCATAAATCACAAAAAGCACTGCTTAGAAATCCAGAAAAGCACTGTGCTTTTCATGTTTTAAGTTGATATCACCCTATGATAGGAAATGCTATTTAAGAAAGGTCTTAAATAGTCTTTTGACTTTTTAACTTGCTCCTTTTTAAATGTGGAAAATTAAAAGTTAATCGACACCCTTCTTATCTTATTATAAAGACTCATAGATCCAATCTAAATCATACTTATTACACTAATCATTTGGTATAGACTAAGCCAATTGTGTAACTTGCGAATTTGACATTATAATACATTATATTTCAGTACATCATAGACCCTCAAAGAACATTTGAATCAGAGCTTCAGTGACTTGCTTTTTCTTCTGCCTAAACGCACTTCATCCCTTTGAACCCATTTGCTAAATTGAGGAAATGCAAGGGCAGCACAGCTACCTTGCAGCACTGGAGCTCTGGGTTCAGTTCCAGACTTGGGGTGCTGTCTGTGTGGAGTGTATGTTCTCCCCATGTTCGTGTGGGTTTCCTCCAGGTGCTCCCACCAGACAGCTGGCCTTGGTGTATCTGTATCTGAGTCCTCCAAGCGATGGCATTCCATCCAGGTGTATCCCACATTGCTCCTTCTGCTGGCTGGGAAAGGCTTGAGCTCCTCTGTGACCCTGAATTGGAAGAAGTGATTAGAAAATGGAGGGCGGATGGATTAAATCCAGTGTTGATTAAAACTTTCAAGGCGCTGTAGGAAAGATTGGAGCTGTTGAGGGGGTACTCGTGACTGAAAGGTCGCTTATGTGTTTCCAGACTGCCAGACCCGCAGAGGACTCATGTGCTGTGGGGGCTCAGTAAGGTAAGTGTCGCCTTTTCTGTGTCCTTGGAGAAAGGAACCTGTCCTGCAGTTTTCTGGCTCTATAAACGCAATACTGCTTACTTATGAGCTTCTGCTTGGCGATACATTTTATGTCATTCTTTGGACAGAAATTAAGCATAGAGTGTAGTAAAATCCCCCCTTTTCTTTTTTTGTGTTATTAGTGTGAGGAATTTACTGTTTTATATTGTGTTGGTACAAAAGGAAACGGCAGATCTGATTGCAGGCACGCGTAATAAAATGATAATAGTGGTAAGGAAGGTGCTGAACACAAGAGCGGTGATCAAAGTGAAATCAAGCGTACAGGTATGTCGGAGCTGTTCATGCAGGTACGCTGGTGACTGGTATTTCGCGTTTCCAGCTATTCAAGATTGGCAAGTGGATTGCTTTAAAAACACGCAGTCCTACAGCGTTGGAGCTACTGCGGGTGTACTGTAGGTGAGAGCCGAGAGGTGTTGAGCAGGTGTGGATCGCTGGTCCCTGAGCTGTGAGAGGGGCTGGGCAGCGAGTGGGCTCGTTCTAATTCTGCATGACATGTTGCCTTACAAGAGTGGAGGTGTTTGGCAGCGGGACGTCTCCAACCTTGCTTCGTGTTGCGCAGGATTTCTCCGCGTCCGGGATCCGCGTGGGCACGCTGTACTCGGAGAACCGCGAGGTGGTGGAGGCTCTGGAGAAGCTGGCTAGTTTCCACGGTGTGCCGGGACCAACACAGCACCAGGTGGCCCGGCTCCTAAGCGACAGGGGTATACCTCTCCCAGGGCCCACAGCAGCCCCATGACACACGCCTGTCCCCCCGCCTCACAGCGCCCCCATGTGGTGGAAATCTAGCCTCCCTTTGAGCAAACTAAACCCACTCTGTCTTCCTTAAAGTACTGCTGCTGTGCAGTTTGTTTTGTCTTGAATTGCACTGAGAAATGTTTTTAGGTAAAATTTACCTTTTGTGAGTAAACACTTAATGAGGTTAGTCTCAAAGCTTTCTGCAGCAATACAATAATCAGCTTACTGTGCAGTCTTGAAACAGAATAATCGAATACAGATATGCAGGGAAGGTGGAACAGTGGGTACAAGGCAGGAGACACCTTGGACGGGACACCAGGGCGCACACGCACACACACCTCAGGGCCAGTTTTCCCAGAAGTCAGTTAACCTAGAAGCATGTCTTTGGACTGTGAGAGGAAACCCATGTGAACATGGGGAGAGCACACAAACTCCATGCAGAGAGCGTCCCTGCAAAAACAATCCCTGTGCAGATTGCACAGAAGCTGTGTGTCCAGACGAGGCCTTAAGAACTATTAACCCTCCTGTTTCTCTGCAGACTGGATCGATCGGGTCTATCTGCAGGCCAATCGGACTCGTTTGAAGACTGCCCACCAGTACATAGTCAGTGAGCTGAAGGCCCTCAATGTTCCCTTTCTCAACCGACCAGCAGGGCTCTACATCTGGGTTGACTTCAGAAAGGTGGGCGTCGCCAGCGCTGTCTGTTTAACGATTCCAACCCGCTGAGTTACTGATATCACCTTGTTGCCTTCTTGTCTGGTCTCTTGGGAAGCAGTTCAGTATTTCTGATCCTGACAAAACGATGGCTTGTAGATTAACCCATTCATTTCTCCATCCCTGGGGGTGATGAGATGGCATGTTGATTTAATGTTTTCACGGTTATTGGTCTGGTCTCGTTTTTTTTGTAGTACCTCAGAGAAGAGACGTTTGAGGAGGAGCTGACCCTCTGGCGTCAGTTTCTCAACAACAAGGTCCTGGTCAGCTGTGGGAAGGCTTTTCATTGCAGCACGCCGGGCTGGTTCAGAATTGTATTCGCTGACAAGACGCATCGGCTTCAGCTAGGTGAGTGTCTGCTCTGTCTTCTTCCATCCTCCCAGGTGTCAATGTGTCTCAGCCTTCCTACCATTAGAAACAATGGAGAAGCCCAGTCCCTCCCCAAACAGCCATAGCAGGCCAGAGAGAAAGAGGCCTTCATCCAGTTCTACTGGTGGGTCTTAATTTGGACACCTATATATTCTAGTTTCTGATACATTTGCATTTTTATTAACAGAGTTCACCAATTAAAAAGGAACTAGCAGAAATTGTCTGGTCCCAGAGTACAATGGAGAACAGTTCATTGTTGGCACTGAAAATTGGATGCATTCTGGCTATTACCCAGGGCAGTGTATTGGGAGCTGAACAGCCTTGATCAAAGTGCCCCCTGTTTCCTGTTCTTTTACTGTTCTTCTGAAAGGTTTGCACTTGTGACTTCACAGCTGTAAGCAGGTACTCTTTTCAAAATGGGATGGAGACCTGAATACCCTTATGTGAACATCTGTTTATTATGAGTGTATTATAATAAAACTATTAGATTATATCTAATTATTGATGATAAGCAATGATGCTGTATTATATTAATGTAATATTATTAATGATGTAAAAGTGGAATAAAAGTAACATTAAAATATAAAGAGTAATTTCCATTTATAAAGGTGTAATTCTGTAACATAAATATAACCCTAAATGTAAATGTGATTGTGTGTTTTATAACAATAGTAACAGACTAATCAGATGTAATTTTGTATCAGACATTTAAATTAAATTAATTGTAAATAAATAATGCGTTTCTATTATTTAACAGTTCAGTTTAAGAGCTGCAGCTTACAATTAAAGCTGAGAGGTGTAAAAGGCTAATTCGGTTATCATTTCTGGCTTTCGCGTGTCAGTGTGAGAGAATCTCAGTAACACTGCTGTTCCACTCCAGGAATGCAGAGACTTAGGAGAACCCTGGAAGAACTGGACCAAGGGACCGTGCTGGAGGACAGCAAGGCGAAACCTGGCACTTCTGGGGGCAGGACGAAGCTAGCCCAGTCGGAGCTGAGAAAGAGGCAGTCCTGTCCGGGTTCTGAAGTCTCTCTGGGCCGTGATGCTGACGACGACGTCCAGGTCTCGCTACAGTCGGGCCCCCCGGCCTCAGGGTTGGACAGCTTGATCGGCGTCCTGTGGCAACAGATCCGCACCTCGGACTGGCTGGAGAAGAACACCCCAGAGTCATTTGCCCAGGAAAACCCCGAGGTGTTCGAAGTATTCAGTAAGCTGGTAGAGAGACCCAAGGAGTGATGGGAGATCCGGTTCTTAGATTCAGCAACTGCTACAAGAAACACTTTGGTTCTTGAAGTGAAACGCCTCATTTTTCTCATTTCATGTCGCTGGTACATACAGTATAGTACATGAATCTGCACAACCTCTCCACATAACAATCAGCCTTACTGGCATTTTGAAATTATATTTGATCATTACTAAAAGATCAACACTTGGGCAGCCCTCAATTTCAAGAACTGTACTCTTACTCTGTTTAGGTAAATGAATAAAGAACAATGAGATTTTCAAAAGTCGTGCTTAAAGAAAAAAAGCTAGTATTACCATTAACTGTATATACATATTTTCTTAACACAGAACATGACTGTGTTACAACCATGAATAAGAAGCAAAGGGATTTGTTTCACTTGGTTGTTTTAGTGACTGTAAGTTATCAGCAGGAGTCAGAGCTTTTCAGACTTCTGCTGTTTGCCAATGATATTTTGAGGTAGGAGGATCTGAAAATTCCCTTTCTTTTCAATTCGTTTTGAACTGACATTTGAGATTTCAGCTGTTACTGTTAATATAAGTCTTATATGTTCATCTATTTGCACTAAACTCTAAGTCCGTCTGATTTTGCAGTAGATTTCTTGACATTTGACAGACAGATTACATTATGAATGTAGAAAGTTTCTAATGAAAGAGGTATTATGGGTTTAATTAAAGGTATGGGATGGATTAAAAACACTGGGATTCAGACAGGAATTATTAAGCAATGCAAGCAAGAAGGGCTACTTCGACCCTACTATCCTACTCTTCTGTCTAGAAATGATATGTATTTTTTTTCTTCAGTTACTCTTGCACTTTTTAATATTAGTAGTCACCAAACTGTCAAATTCACATTTTTTTTCCATCTTTAAATTTATTTAAACTTGTGGGCAAATTAGAATTGTAAATGTTCCGTCTGGTATTTCGTGTAAATTTATGTATTTATGATAAAAAAATTTAAGCTTCCGAATCACTATATCACAGGAATGTAGGATACACAGCATACGTGACAGGGCTCAGTGGTGCTGGGCCTGTCACAGATGGTAATGTCAGCTCTTGGGGAGCTGGACAGCCCTGAATTCTCCACAGCAGGAGAGGCAGTATTGTGGTGTGTTGTGATGTAGCGACTTGCTCTACTGCCTGTGGACTGTTGGTTCAGAAACTGGGGTGAAAAATACATTCAGATATTTTAAAGTTCTTAGAATTGCTTTTTAAATAATGCCCTGCCATATTAAAGAAGCTATATATTGTGAAGTTATTACAAAATCACAATTGCCATAACTTGTGAATTATTTCGTTGCGACAGTTGATATCAGATGTCTCCTTTTTGTGTTTTGTGTGGTCCGTAATATAGCTATTGAAAAGGACCTCGTGTTTCAGTGAAACTTTCAGTTTTACACAGAACTATTTTAAGGAACCCACACCCCTCACACACACTTGAACCAGGGCCAGGGCAAGACAGGGTCTTTACCAAAGATGAATGAGGTCATCGCGGACTGTTTTTCTCTCTGGGGTTGTAGCTGTTAGGGAAGTGAAACAGTGCAGCGATACAGGGGATTTTACATGGTAATACAGTTGTGTCAGAGAGAAGTGGAGGTTCATTTTGACATCCATCAGTCTAAGTCTGGAATGACTTGTTAGAAAATCACAGCCTTCTGTGGTAATGAGAAACCAGACCATCTGAAGGACACGGCTCTAGATAATGAACTATTCAAAATATTTTGAGACCGTGTTACTGGAGCCAGACATTTAAATTCTAGACTGTAAGCACTGACTTCAGCAAATCCTTTTAAATGAAGTATATATCGATATAGTATTCATAAAGTGACAAATGTGATGATTATCAGCTTCTGGTGTAGGTTAGTTGCAGGTTAGCAACAAATCCTAGTCCTGATCATACTGTATCTCGTACATAGCCTTAACATACGTTATGGATTAATAATGTACATATCCGTATATGTACATATGATATATATTTTTAGATTAAAAAATTGATGAATATAGAAATGGGGGGGATGGAAGTTAAAAAAAGACTTTTCGACAGTGAAGAATTAACTGCCAAGAATTATTGACCATCTGTTACAAATGAAAACAACATTGTTTAACTGGAACATTGAACCTCTCTAATTTAGGTGTGAGGGATTTCACATTTCAAAACGTGTTTCAAGGCAAGATCAGTGCCTTGTAATTTTCTCTTTTCTGCTTTGATGCATCTAGTTATTTACTGTAGTATTGGTTTCTTTCCTAAGTTGCCAACTAAAACATAAGAAAGTTTTGGGACATTCCCCATATCTAGCTCATTTGGTTTGTAGTACTTTTTAATAACTTTGTTTCAAGATTTCATCTAGCCTTTTTCCTGAAAGATGTGAAGGTTTTAGCATCAAGACATGATGGGTTTGAGGTTGGAAAGACTCTGGCAAACCCTTTGGCTGGAAAAGTGCCTCCTGTTCTCTGTTCCCCTAAGCTTCTGTTTGTGTCCTGTGATTCGTGATTCTGATGTTTTCATGTTTTTGTTGAGGCTGAAGATATCCACTGGCTTATGTTTGTCAGTGTCTTTGAGGATTTTTGAATACTTGAATTGGGTCTCCTTATCGTCTTCCCTGTTCAGGCTTCAAAAGATCTTGAACGTGTGCATGTACAGCATTCCTTTAATTCTGTAATGGTTCATGTAAACAGGTTACAGAAATCAAGATATTTTAACCTTATATCCCTTGATTTAAATTCTACAGTCCTTCTAGTGTATCAGCACTTTTTGCCCTTTTTCACTGCTTCCCCACAATATCTCCAAGATGAAACTCGTGTGTCATCATGAAACAAGGCAAAGCCCAGAGCACAGTGGCTCATACAGGTTACTAGAGTTTAAATGGACGGGGAACACATGACCCCACCCCCTTGGGGGGTTAGGAGACTGGTGGGTCTCACAACTCCCCACCCACCAGTTATGGCCCAGTTCTCTTCTTGTGCCACCCCCCCAACATAAACCACCTACAGTAGGGCATTTTCACAGGCGTCTCAGTGTTTCTTATTTGTGCGTTTATAGTTTATACTGTATTTTTGATAATAACATGTAACATCCTGTTGTTAACTACAATAAATGTCATCTGCCCAGTGTCTTGAATTGTATCTCCATCTTTTTCACCTAATTAAGCCATTTGGGTTGCTTTCTAGCTTTTCATTTAATTACTCTTGGAATGTATCATGTAGCTTCATGCAGAATGTTTAAAGCTGTTGTCATCCATCCTCTATGATTGTATGGATCCTATTTCAATACCTTTAAACTCTCTTTCGCAGTCTACTTTCCTACAATTCTAAACGGTTGTAGAGTTTCAAAATATCCTTAAAAATATAACATTTGTATTCACGGTTCCCTACTGGTTTCATCAGCTCTGTTTTGCTCACTTTATCTTGATTACACAAGGACAATACAGTCAGTCCCTGTTGAAAGTATTCTGACAAGCTCAGTAAGTGTCCAACAATAGCCCTTGAGTATGTGCAATGCTGTAGTTTCATGTAGTTAACTTTAGTTTAAGTTGTTTGCCAGAATAATACATAACATCTCTTAACCTTCTTGTTATTTACATGTAAGAATGGATATCCAATAAACTATGAGTGATGTCATTATTCTTCTGCAACAGGAGGTGCCTACTGCCCTGTAATTTCACTTTAAGCAGTACTGAGCCTGTGGTAATTCATTTAGTCACTAATAAAGCAGGTTTTTTTTTTCTTCCATCACATTTAAACTGGTTAAGAATTAGTAAGAAAATATATGGGATTAAATAGTTATTTGGTAGTTATAGTTAATTCACATGAATCCTCCACATCCTCCAGGTATTTTTCTGTTTGAATTCAGGGAAAACTTGCAAAGGAAAGGTAGTACAGTTAACAGCCTTTTTATTACAAGACCTCTCTTCTGGCCGGCCAGTGCAAATCGCATCAGGATTTGTTCACAGGAGTGTGAAGTGCGCCGTCGGCATCACCTGTGGGAGGGCAATGAAATCTTGACTGCGTAGAAAATTCCGTTCCGAAGCCCACATGGTCACTGTGGCTGGAGAGAGGTTACTATGGCAGCCGCGCTCCGTGTGGGCCTGGACAAGTCATCCTCGCCGCTAAATGCCAGCCCTCCAGTGAACTTTTAGTGTTGCTGAGGGGCTTCGCTAGAGCTGTTTTTTTCCAGCGCGCGCGTGCCCCCTTCCTAGAGCTCCCCACACATGCCCCCCACTGCTGGTTTCCGACGTGCCGGGGGTTTCTGACGTGTCACCCTTCCCCTGACGGGGCCGTGAGAGTTTCCCTTCCACGGCGTTTGCGAGCTGCCATGTAGGGACTTCCTCGCTCGGCACTCTTTCACTTTCAGAGCAGTAGGCCGGTCTCTTTTCCTGCTGGGTCTTTTGCTTTTACTTGGTGAGCCAGTCATCAGCAGAACGTGCAGGGGGCTGGCTCTGCTGGCGGGAGGGGAGGGGGAGGTTAGCTGACGTTTGGGGGGGGGGGGGGGGATTTTTTTGCTGTAGGGGTTTTCTGTCTCAGGGGTTAACTACTGTACAAAGAATGGAAAACAGTACTGCTCGCTCGTGTACACAGAGTGATAACGTACTGTACATCACCTAGAAGTCACTAGTGCTTTGTGCGGCACTCTGATTACGTGTCAGCGACAAACCTGAACTCTCTGTATATGGTGGTGTCTTTCTAGAAAACAACTTTTTATTCTCCCACTTCTGTGAAGAAACCAGAAACACGATTGAATCAGTCGGAATTTAGTTTCCTCCATAATTTTTTAACTGTCTCAAGCCAAAACGCTGCTCTTTAACATTGTTTTTGTCCTTATCCTTTAACTGGAGAACGTGTGCCTGAATTGAAGGTTTTTCTGAAGTGAAAGAAGAAAAGCGGGTAAGCAAAGTGAATTGTTTTCTCTCCCTCATCTCTTGTTCCGCTGCTTGATGTATTTGTCATCCTTGCCCGCTTCTTCTCATGAGTGTGTTTTTCTTTCCCTGCCTGCGCTCCACACCTCCCTCTCTCGCAGCTCGCAGCTCGCGTGCAGGTAGACGCCTTCCTCCACAGAAGATGACCGTGTTTGAGCTGGACATCCTAACCAGCAGATTTCGCTTCATCGAGTCCGTGCTGGGTCTCGCGGGCTGCGTGTGTGTGATGTACGCAGTGTGGACACCTGACTGGCTGGGGGGTGTGGGTCTCTGGACTGGAGAAGAAGAAAATGACACCAACTCAGACAGTTACCTCAGGGACATGGATTCCTCAGGAGTGCAAATCTTTAAAGGTGAGGCCGGCTTTCTTCACACGTGCCACGTTACTAGTCCTTCAAACTAGACACGGGGAATGACTTTGATCACATCATCGAAGAAGCTTTTTTCTTTCTTTCATTCATTGATTCCCTGTTAAATGCAGTATATTCATTCTTTTTCTTCAACTACAATTTTTGCTTCCTCCAACTTCCGAGCTATAGATGGATCAGCTGACGTCAGGCTGCACAGAAAGATCAGGAGTATTGCTAGAACAGAGCTATTAATGGTCTTAGTTACATTGGTTCTCATTTCAGAACAACGGGGCAGGAAAAAAGGGGATTTTAATTAAAATGGGATTTTTCGTGCTTTAGCTTAAAACTGATTACAGGCTGTAATGTGCCATTGTAGATTGTTGGTAATAAAAAGTGAAGTGAATGTAACTATTACTTTTATCATTTCGACTGTTTAAAGATTCGGAAGATACAGTTTTATGTACTTCTGGGACCTGTCTGCCTTTTTTATTGCAAACTTATGTTTATCATTTTTATTCACCATTTCTATTTTTTAAATATCATATTATCATAATCTAATAACATTAGAGGTTAGGATATGATCTCTGAGTACAGGTGTGTGTGTTTCTGTTCAGCAAGCTTTATTCTGAGAGTGGAGTCCAGGAAAGACTGAGAAAGCAGTGTGATAGATGAGGCTATGATGAATGTTTGCTGTGAGAATCGAGCACTGTGGCTGAGACAGCCTGTGTATGAAAATGAACCCCCCTGCAAAGCACTTGGAGGTCTGTGTAAGCAAGTTCCATCATGCTTTCCAGCAGTCACTAATAGACATGACACCAGCTGACATGACATGACACAGAGACATGACACCAGCTGCCGCTTCCAAATCTACTGTACGTGGAGTTCAGATCAATGAATGCAAACATACTTCATGATGGCATCAGTCACAAACAGGAATAGCTTTCTGGTGATAAAATATTCTTCTTGTTTATAGAACACGAAAAGGCCTTGCAGAAGTACATGGCGGTCTTTTGGGTTTCAAATATCATCAAATATAGGCCACATGACCTGTTTTTCTGATGGTAGTTAAGAAAGTCATATTTCTCCAAACCAGTGAAGGCTGTAATCTACTCCTAAAACATACTCATTGTCATTTAATCTCATCATACCTCAGGACCACTTGACTTAAAGTCAGTCGTGTAAATATCACCCTATCAAAGACTACATCATCTCATATTAGCATCTTGGTGTCTCACTGTATTTTCTTTGCAAACTATCACATCCATCTTCACAGACCTTGCACTACCAATGTTATTTCTTCATTTTGTAATGAGTATTTCATAATTCTAAATATACAGTACCTTTAAAGTCCCCTTTAAGAATTGATAAATGCTGCTATGAAGTTTGTGACACTTGCTTTCATTTACTGAAAAACATTTAATCAGTGATAACTGTAACAGGCAAATATTTACACCTGTTTAAGAAATTAATAATAAAGAGAAAGATATTGAGCACAGGAAGGCTTTTATGTTGTGGTTTGATTTGTACAGTATATGTGGACAGTCCCTATATCCTTAACAAAAGAAAAATTGTCATTTCAAAGAAATTTCGGTACTATATTATAAATAACAAATTGCAAAATATGTACAATAATTAAATAGTCGTTTTCCCCCAAAATAAGAATGTTTTGCATAAAAAATAATGTGTTGTACTGTATGTTGGGGAGGAGAAAGTCTACATTTTAGATAATTGGATAATAATTCAAAATCTCTGTTCTGAACTGTTACTTACCGTTCACAAACTTTGATTTCAGTTACAGTGTAGTAAGTTTCACTGCATGGCTTAAATATAAATCCCTGAACTTTCCAGGGATATAATGTACAATCTGTTGCAAGGTTCTGGATTTTAAGGAATTCAGCTGTGGATGCCTTGGTTGCAGGTCTTGGCTTGTTAAAAATAACCAGCTTAGGGTGAAATTAAGCCTTGCTGTTGCGTGTTATAAAAGGTTTGTACTGTTTTTGTGTGGCTTTTTCATCTCATGTTTGTGTTTGCAATTAGTACTCTAGTTGTGAACATATAGATTTGTGTGAGTTTATAAATGCTGACAGATTTTTTGTTAAAGAGTGATGTGAAAGCTGTGGTAGAAAATATATTCACAGAAACATACTTGTTTTCCTCAGTTAAAGAAAATGTGTAAAATCCGATATTAGGATTCAAAACCACTGTAACAGGTCTTTTTTACTCCAAAGTAAAACCCTATTTTTTCTTCTTTGTGAAACTAAATGCAGAAACAGTAGTTAGAGGCTTGGGAGGCAGGTTTTGACTTGAAAATGTAACTGAGAATATGCTGCCCATGAATACAAATTTCCACTTTGCCAAGTTAAAAAAAAAATCAATCCATCAACGTGTTTTATACTTAGGGGCACACACCACCTCAAATTCAAATTTTCCAAGACATGTTCATAAAACAGGGCATTGCTGCACTGTTTATATGAAGTGCTGTGCAGAGCGCTTCCTGACCCTGTATCTACAGTACAGTACAGGACTCTACAGGGCTGGCTGAGCAGAATGGTCAGCCTTGCTCTGGCTCTGGAGTGACCAGTTAATATGAGGTTAAAATAGTGGTCATGTCTCTTTACCCCAAATTCCTATCCAGGCTGATTTTGCATGGTTTTATTGTGGTCTGCCAAAGTTCAGATTGTGAAATAGTTCTTCAGTTAAGCTTCTGTTTATTTTACCCAAGTGTTTGTCAAGTGTTCCTGAGGCTTGGCCACATAAGGCAGGAGGTTCCAGCAGGTAGCAAGCTAATTCACTCAATCGGAGGAAGTGCACAAGGGGGGGAGGGGGTGGACGCCAGGTATTAACGCTGGCTGCCGTGTGCTTGCAGTGCTGGAGGTGGAGCCCGTGTTTGCAGTGCTGGCGTTTCTCATGGCCTTCAGCGGCGCCAGTCTCTGCCTCATCTTCACCTTCTGCTGGTCTTCCCGCACAACCCGCTCCTACGCCAACATCAGATCCCTCCTCTTGGCCGGGCAGGCTCTCTACCCCACCACCCTGCTGCTCGTCGTTCTCGTACCCACAGGTAGGGGAGTGCGGTTCTGGTGGGGGGGGGGCCTTTGGTGCTTCGGCACACTGTGATAGGCTGGCTAGGATAGGTATGGGGCATCATGGGATCCCACAGACAGTTCTCCATGTAAACCTTCAGTGCTCAGTGTTATAATACAGTACATCAGCCTGAGCCTGCATGAAACACAAGACCGAGGTCCAAGATACTATTCCCCGGATTCTCTCTTGATGTTGTTAATATACATTGTTCCCACTTTGTAGCTGCTCATATTAATTAGACCATCTAAGAGGTATCTGCATATGTAATAGTCACTACATTATTCTGTAGTTTATGAAAGAGCAAAAGTAATTTAATTCTGAAATGGATTAATTAATATGCTGTAAACCTGCAATAATTACATTGATGTTTTGGAAAATCTCTTGACTTGCAACAGATCTGATATTCCTCCCATATTCTCCCATGATCTCTGCAAACAAATAAACCATACTGGTTACCAGCACCAGGAAAAACTAGCAATGAAAAGGGAACAAAACATTCTACTTTCATACTTTGCTGCCTACGTGGCACTTCACACACTTCAGTTATGCTTGTTTGTGTCTTGTTTTGAGAGAGGGTCTCAGCTTAAAATCTTGCTGCACCTCATGATGATTGAACAGCCAGCCCAGTCACCCTCATGTCTCGCTCTCTTCCAGGGTTCTTCTTTGTCATGTGCTGGTCCTTCTTCACCAAGCACCATCTGGGCGAGATCAGCAGTGACTTCTCCCGCCTGGGCTCCTCCTATTGGCTGGGGGCCCTGGGCTGGGTTCTACTCCTGGGCGTCCTGCCTCTGACTTTCATTGTGGAGCAGTATGTCTGCCCTGACCTCATGGCAGATGTCAGCTCCTTGTTGAAGGAAACAGAAGCCATGCAGCACAAGACAGGGCTAGGCTCCTACAATGAAGGAATGGAGTACTCGGGCTCATTAAGCAGGGACATGAGCTACAGATCACTGCCCTAACAGGATTTCATTGTGAATGAAAGGAGAAATGCACACTACTGTAAAGCACAACAATGCACCGAATACAACTAGTTGAAGACCACTTGATGCTTACCTACAAAAATGTTACTGCTTACAAACAGTTTCATAACCATCTCCCAGTAGACGGCAACCAATCTGTTCCTTTCTGTCGGGCCATGCTTGGAAACACAGGAACACCTTCGATGGATACAAAGGCTTTGTTCCCTTCCAATTAAAAAAAATTATCATGCAAAAGGAAAATTGGGAAGAAAGAGAACAAATAACTATGTGAAGAGCTTTAGCATGCCAAGGATTGTTTGAATACCTCACAAGAGGATCTTAAAGTCCAAACTCTGGATCAATTAAACTGTTTACAAACGTGATGTGTTAGCCAACTTTTAAGCACTGCTATTGAGTACTTAACTCATTGTAATTTTCCTAGCAGCAGTGCTTGATTGTGGTTTAGATTTTATATAGTGCCCTGAACATGCAATGCATTTCACTTTCTGTCAGAGTTCGAAATGTGTTACACTATAATTATATAAGTATGTCATTTAAATAATGTACATTCTTGGAATAACCATTACTGTTACAGTGACTTTTGACTTCCTGTAAAATGAAACTATAAGGAGCTGTAGGTGCTATACAGGTGACAACACTAATAGTTCTCAACAATAAGGCAGTAAGAAACAGGGTGATAGTAAACTATGTGCTTTTTAGAAAGGGTACAGTAGTGGAATGACCCACTGCACAAATCTCTTTATGGAAATACAGAATAAATATTCTGTAACACTGGAGTTTTAATTCTTCAGGACCATTGTATATTTTACACGATTAAGGCTTTATCTTATAGTGAATTATATAAAAACTGCTACTATATTTGTAATAAAACATTTTTTAAATGGGTAATAATTTAGGTTTTTTTTTGCAATATTGATCTCTGTATATCGACATTTCCAATCATGGCAAGAATTGTTTTGTGGAGACTGGTTTTCCTCAGAATTCATCTTTAAAGCTGTAAAAGCTTAAACATTTCTGAGTTTTAACTTGTCTAGTAATTGTCTAGTAGGAAGTCCTTTTAGAAGCTTGGACAAAGTGAATGGTCTTTCAAGGGAACACATTTTCATATATTTAAAAATGGACACCATTTCGTCAGCCCCCCACCTATTATTTTTCACTGCCCTGGTGCAGGTGCAGAATCCAGAGTCTTGTTCCGAAGCATGGGTGAAAGGCACCCCAATGTGACCCCAGTCCGTCACAGAGCACTCACACATGCCTACAGGGACAGTACAGAGCCACCAGCCAACCCCACTAGCATGTCTATAGAAGCTGGGTGAAAACCAGGACATCTGGCAAAAACCCACATGAACACAAACGGCACACTCCAGTCCGGAGACAGCTGTTCTACTCTTCACACCACGGTAGAAGTTAGTACTTTTCAGCACAACATGTTATTCACGTCTGCTGAATAACGTTTGCTGATTAAGGAAAACCAAAACTGTCCTATTTTGCTTTCAAATTGCCAAGGTACCCTCTTACTACAGTATGAGCACAAGGAATACTACTGCAAGCTTGAAAATGAGGTTTTCTTGTGCTTTCACATCTTTCACCGCTGGTGATAGAGTTAATGGTTTTCAAATCAATTTGAATCATTGTGGGGCAAGCTAATGAAAGTTTTTCTTTTAGCCCAAGGGGGCACCAGGTAAAAACATGGTTCTGTTTAACACTTGCAATGCTATTTGTTCCAACAAAAGTGCACAGTGGCGTCCAGACTGGCATGTTCCTGTTCAACAGGGTCCAGTCTGAAAAGGGTCCTCACAGTGGGACAGGAGAAAAAAATAAAACGAAGGAAAAACACAGCCTTACCGTTCTCCCCACAATCCCCTTCAGGACTGTCGGTGGAAGGTTCTCCCCTTGCGAGGAGGAGCTCAGTGTGCCTTAAAGGGCTCCACAGCTGTAGCTCGTCCTTAATCAGCCAGGGTTGCTAAGGCAACATGTAGCCCTTGATCTGGGACTCCCCCTCCATACTGAACACGCCCCCGCGTTATGCCACAAATAATAGTTATGAGCAAATAGAGGTTAATTCTTTTTAAAGTAAAAAGAAAGATGAGAAATGCAAAAAATCTGCTGTAAAACTTCTTGTAGTGTGTGAGGGGAATGGGAGAACTGGAAATGAGCCTAGGCAGAACAAAAAAAAAGACAATTTGATCATGGGTAGAGATGGTTTCACTCTTTCTTTTGACTTTCAGTTTGGAATAAACCTCTGCTTGTTCCTTGCAACTCGTCAATTGAACTTCTTCGACATTGTTTCACAGCTTTCTCTACTACAGGATCCTAAAAGGTCTCATCCAAACCCACAGCTGAGGTGCAGTGGCCACAGAGGTGACATGCAGTAGACAATCTGCACCTGCATCCTGACTGCACAGGAGATCAGGTGGATGAGCAGGACATTGCTTCAACAATTAAACTGATGCAGGAGGAACTTTTAGATAGGCCAGACTGTCCAGGCCTAGAGTGAACTGCAGCAGGACAGCAGGGTTAACACCCGTCTTATGAACAGAGCCAAGAGGCCTGTAATGACCAAGCAGTCAGGACCTCAGTTTAAAAGCTGAAAGGATATGAAGAGCACTTCATGTTAAATGACCTTGAACATCACATCCCTGTCACATGAATTAAAAGTAGCTTTTGGTATTCTTGAAAATGAGTTTATGTTAATGCTTTTCAAATGGAAAAGAAGAACTAAACAACAAAGTATTTATTGCTGTTAATTTAATAGTTCACCTTTCCATTACATTCCATTCCAAGAACAATAAGGTTTTTTTAAGAAGAACAGGAAACATTTTGATAGAACAAAACACATTTTTAGAATAGCTCATTGTGTGTTGCAAAACATAAGGCTTTGAATACAGTGAAAGAAACTGACCAAAACACGAAATGCGCCAAATTAGTTTCGTTGATGATGTAAGACAGTTTATCCAGCAGAAGGTCACTTGCTCTGACAGGGATAGCAGGGGTGGGTGACGATGTGATGTCACTGACCCTTGGTTTTCACAGTTTTCGTGTTCGGAGGGACCACCTCCTCCATCAGGCCAAAGCCTGATGCTTCTTCAGCTTGAAGGAGGAGCCCTCCATCAGCTGAATATTCCTCTTCTGTGGAATTGAAAAAGGAATGGCATTAAATCTGTCTACTGTATATGTCAGTATAGATATTATAGTACTGAACCCCCTTTATAACACCTCCAGACAATTGTACTCTTTCCCATCATGAGTTGTGTGATTTGTGCTGCCGTATTGCAAGCTGATGCGAATTTGTACTATATGTTTTAAATGGATTGTGTAGGAGTGGTGATGTTACAGACTAATGTAAAAGTTGGAGCATCAGTGGGACCCTTGAACTGGACTTGGGAACTACTGCTTTCCAGTCCTGATCAGGGATGGGCAGTCTAGCGAGTCCTGTAGGTCAGCCTCTAAATCACCAGCACCTGAAGAGCTGGGAAAAGCCGTTAAACTGGTCCAAATAATTGAATTGGGAAAACAACTGCTGCACTGGGAGGAAGCCTGAGAGCACAGCTTCCACCCAGGGAAGACCCTCTTCCGTCTTCCCTCCCATACTGACCTGGGGAGATGGGAGATGAACAGACTGGCCTGGGACTCACTGTTTCGGTGGTCTCACCCTGTCCTGTCAACCACAATGAAAACAGGTGAGCTCACGTGGCTCGATGGTGGAGGCACCTGAACTTCACCACGGAAACAGAGAAGCCTAAAACCCAAAGGGCAGCCATGATTGGTCCACCCGGAGGTGTTGCCGTTCAAATGAACTAGCTGCCCTCTTGATTGGTCATGATTATGATCTGGACCAGGTCATTATCAGGTGGCCAATATACAAACTGATGAAGCCTCAGGGGATGGAGGGTCTGGAGGTGCCATTCCTCTTAGCTCCTAGGCTAGGAAATGATCTCCCTGCCGATATCACAAGTCACTTTCACATCCCGTTAATTCTGTGGAATTCACAGTTTTAATGTGTGTGGATCTGTCCTATTTGTTTGATTGTCTTAACAGCTTTGTTAAGTGCCATGGGGCAACCTTGTGGTGCAAGGCGCTACATAAAAATAAATTGAACTAAATTGAATTGAATTATTAATTATAATATATTCAATGAGAAGAGGGTGTTAGCTGAAACCTAGTTCTTGAGCCAGACTCCAGAGATGGATAAAATAAAAAATAAGCTAAGAATCCACATATGCTGTGTCATTGCCCTGCCCTGTTTTGTGTCTGACAGTGTCTGACACTGGAGACAAACTGCTTATTCTATTATGATGAGTCTCTGCAGAAGTACCTTATTTTTTTCAGCTAGGCTTTCAATTCCTAACCTTTAAGTTTGAATTCCGGCAAAGCCTTTTCTGTTGTTATTTATAACTGTGATGGGCAATTTGAAATTGTTTTTTGGACCAAAAGACTCATGGTTAATGTTTTTAATTCGAATATCCCATGAAAGAGCTACAGTGTTACTGAAAACTCCCATGTGGAAGGGCTGCAGGAGCCAGGGATCCTTTCTCGCCTGTGTGTGAATTTGACATTTTTGTATCAGCAGCGCCCTCTCCTGGACAAACGTACATTTACTGCTGAACTCCGGTTGTAAAAAAAATCCCTCCAGGAAAAGTATTATTGTTTGCTTGTCTGATGAGTTTTATTTTCCTAGAGTGTTCCCAAGACCTCAAACTTAAATTTAACATTTAATGTCTAGCAATGCTGGTTTCTTCCTAGTGCCCCCGTCCAACCAGAAGCCGACCAGTTGGATCGGGACCTCCTGTTCACTATTTTTGGACAGTTGAGAAGGCCTCACTGTAACATAACATAGTTGCTGGAAGTACTTGTAGACTTTTGTCCTAAAAAGTCAAGATATGTGCTGCCGTCCATTGAGAATTTATTTGCCTGACGCATTTTCCCCCCTCAAAATCCCTTATATTCGTATCGATTCAACAGACGGAAATTTTCTGCGAGCCGTTGGAGAGAACTGCCTTTACTAAAGGGGATGACAGCACTGCCCCACCAGGATTTTAAACCACAGCCACCGCGGTCTTGCACGCTTCATATGCGCGTTTCTGCTCAAGTCTGCAAGGGCTCAGGGTGCCCCATTTCTGACTGTTTCACAAGGGTGCTGATGCGGCCTCTCTGCAGTCCGCATCAGTGCCGACTGCGCTGGAGGGAATTACCCGCAGTTCCTCGCGGAACAGTGACGTACCCCTTTCTAACCTATCAAAGTGGACAGAAGTTGGCATGGAGAATACAATATTCACGTGTTAGAAAAATGTTTTTTTTTTTCAGTTTTAAAACACATTTTATGTAAAAACAAAATTTCATGAGATTCAAGTACTGTAGGTAGCTGCGTCTGCATGCGTAGTCTGCAAAGGAACAAGTAAAGGTTTATTATGTATTCTACATATGAGCCCCTGCCCGGTGTTTCACATTGCGGTTTGTAGCGCCTATAGCATAAACCGGCTGTTCTGCTGCGAAAGTCGCCGTGCCTGCTCAGACAGTCTGGGAGATTGCACTAAAGATCAGTGTACACTTCACTGTGTCATTCCCAGGGGAAGCCTGGGTTTGACAGTCCAGTGTACCTGTTTGTTGCCTTATGTGTGTCTATCCTACCCTGAGACGTTCCTGCGTAGGGCAACACACTGGCTGACACACCAGTGCAGTGGTCGTATGGATCACAGGTTTTAGGTCTGACATCCACCTTCCTCTAGTGCTTGAGTACAGTATGTCCTCCCATCTAGCTCCTCTGTACACATTTCCTGGAGTGGAGAATATAGCACTATAACTGCTGTGTACTGTCTCTGTAGTGTTACCATGGCACAGTCCTACGATATAACAATCAGCTACCTTTACACATCGAAAAGCTG